GTAATTAGAGAACATGAAACTCACCTAGTGGGTCTCTCTGTAGGATGTCACCACTACAGATATAATCGTCAGCCACAAGCACAAGAGGCACACAACAAACTAGCTAGATGCATCTACTAACAGTAAGAAATCTTGTTCTCCAATTGGCACATTGGAGAACTTTCAAGCCAATGTGAACAACAGGCATCAAACACCATTCAGTTGCACATAATGTCAATAATAGCCAGGGTTGCAACATCCAGAAACCAAAGGCGTTCGCATAGTTATAACCAAGATAGTGCATTACTATGAAGCTTCTAGTTAGCTAGTCTAGAAATGGATAACACAAAGAATAGGATGGAAATTACTAAGTGTACAACTGTAGCCCGTCTTCCAGCATCGGATGATAAAAATATGGAAGAAAATAAGAGAAAAAATTCACCAAGTGTACTTCTTTCGACAAGGAAACTACAAGCAATAGCATGTTCAATTACCAAAATCACAGTAGCCCAGCTACTTATGTTCAACATTGTCAACTAAAAACCAGCACAGGAGATAGAAGCAACAAACCTTATCAAGAAGGCCAAACACGATCTCATACAATCTGCCCAATATATCGGAGTTGCTTGCAGGAGCATAAGTAAGAGCTTTCAATGCTTGCAACCTCCTTGCATGAACTGCAGTTATAGAGAAAAAGATCTGTCAAAAGCCAGATACTTGCAAGCCAAAGTCCACTATTTGGTGAACGGTTATTTGCAAGAAATAGACACTTATATTGACTATCACCAATTTTTGCTGACGCCTTAGGTCTTTTTTGTAATACATTAAGTTGCTGTCTCCATAATAATCAGAAGAGAACAAGATTCAGTACACATTGGAACCATCTCGCCATTATGTGGTCAACAACATAATTCAGGCAAGCTGGGGCAAAATAAACTATATTGTAAACTGCCATTGTTGGAAGTAAACTTGATGTGACTACTGTGTTGTACTCAGAAGTAATACAGGTTATAAGGTTTTGAAGGCATCACAAAACTGCCAATACACTCTTAAGACATTGTCATGAGATAATTACCACCATCAATACGACAGCATTAGTAAAACGGCAGTGTAAGAAAGTTGCAAATATTATCAATAATCCCACATCAGATATGATATCATTAAATTAGTGGAGAAACCACTGTCAAGTACGTAGGTCAACCCTCCAGTTAGATGACAAGGTTTAGACAAGTACTTTTTGTATTTTCAATCACTAGTACATTTCGAGACGAGCATGTGTTTGTAAAGTATTAAGGCAATGAGAAAATTGAAGTGGCAATGGCTTACATTCGGTGTCAGCATTTGAAGCCTCAGCAGATAGCTGTGCAATTATTCGCGGCACAACGTCAGCCCTAGTCACACCCCCAACAGCATCAATATCTGCCAGAGCATCCCAGTTAGGAGTAGGGATCCCACCACCAGAACTCAAACCTTGAGCACCATTGTCTGATAAAATTCTAGCCAAGTAGTAGTAGACATAGCGTAGAACAGTTCGATCTTCACACTGCTGATTTAACTGTAGGATAAGAAAAGGGGGAAATAGTTAAATACCATACCCTGCCATCAGTTTTGCCTAAATGTTTCCCTACTCCCATTTCTCCAACTGATGCAACGCTACATTCTGAAAAAATTATCAAGGATCCAGAAAGTGTTCTTTTTCTTTTCCTAATAGACCTCCAACAGTTTTTGAGCAGCAAATAACAGACAAAAGTATCAAAGCCATTAATGATAACTTGATATGTTGAGATTCCATTAAAAAAAGGGAATATTCATACCAGATGGGCTACTGTTGGAAGTAGCTTGCAATAAAAGAAAGGCCAAAGATATAATAATTCAGGAACAACAGTCAGAAAACAGTCACCAGACCAAGAACTAAAATGACAGAAGAGAGCAGTGTACCATGAGAAGAGATGGTGCAAGTGAAGGATCAACTGAATTGTACACAGCAAGTTTGGGAAACACATGATGCACCAGCTGCTTCTGAGAACTTTTCTATCAAAAAGTTGTTACACGTACCAATAGTCAGTAACCTTGCTAGCCACAGATAATAGAGAAAAGATGCGACAAGAAGTAGATTACATTTACCTGATCAGATGTAGCAGCTAGTTCATGGATGCTCCGTGCAAGTTGTGAATAAGAAACTGGCTGCAAAAATAGATATTTAAATACCATAAGCATCAACTAAATCCTGAAAGCGGGGAGCATAGTCAGCTTCCATGTTCAGCAGAATAGAAAGGGATCATTGTAGGAAGCCCCCTCTGTTAATTCATTAACTAGCATTCAACGTTGACCAAGCACCTAACGTTATAACGACCTATTTTAAATGGTCAAATAACAGCCTACAGATCATCATCAATGGCTATGCGTGAACGCTCTATCACTGTCAAAAACACAGAGTAGTAGCCAAAGAGTAAACATGAAACATGAAACAGACACTAGTCACATCTCAGATGATAGGAAATGAACTCCAACAGGAGGTGGAAAAATGCTACCATAATATCCTACTTCAATACATTGACTAGAATTTCCCAACTTTTGTGTGTTAAAGTAAAGCACCAAGGGGTAAGCAGTTAAACCAACTTGATTGAAACAGTACAAGAACGGACTCTCCAACAATGCAAGGCAGGCTCTACCTCTGCCAACAAGACAGAGAGGGGCTAGAGAAGCAACAAACAGCCAAGAGAAATTTAGAGACACTAATGTTCAAAGTCCAATGATCACGAGGGTAGAGAAACAAGGCACAGTCCTCGTTACAACATTTGCGATTACTGAACTCATTACCCTTCCAACACCTAAACATGAAATCTTCGAAATTGCATGGCATATGGATGTAAACGTTTGCAGAAACAATACAAACGGTCATTTACTGAACATCTGGACTAAACCAAATGGGAACTTAATGTAGCTCCACAGTGCAACTCCCTTTTAAAGGAGTAGCACCCTAAGACCGCAGTTCAACTTCAATAGCATAATTGATCGTTCCAGCGGATCCTCAAGTTCAATTCTAGAGACAAGCAACCGGCATTCATGCTTATGCTCACGCCATTTGATCACTAAAGAAAGCCACACAAAAGGAAATTCAACTAGAAAGAGGGAACGAGGGTGAAGAGTATAAAGACAGCAGAGCATGGAGAGACAGAAAGAAGGAAGGTCACCTTTTTCTTTTGTCTTTGGGGCATGATATTGGTTTTCATGGGGTGCAATGCAGCCTTAGCAGCAGAAAGGGTTTCGTTTTGGATCTGCATAAGCGTCGCCCTCTTAGACTTCTTCTCCCCCAAAATTGTCTTCCCCGACGACGACGACGTAGTTGTCATTGGAACCGATGGAAATTGCGAAGCAGCGGCGGAAGCCGATGCAGATGAAGAAGTCGCGTTGGCCGTGGATCCAGAGGCCGCCGGCGGCCTTCCAGGGTCGGCCGTTATCAGATCCATTAAAGTGGTTCCCGACGAATCCTAAAACCAGAAGAAACAGAGGCAAAATTCATTCAGATGGAAATTGCCCGGCGGAGAACTGTAATGGAAGGGGAATCGGAAAATGCAATTACCGCCATCGTTGATCGATCTGTGAGCTCGGACTAACAGGGCAATCGTCTTGTTTGAATCTCGATATCAGAGTCAGTACTCGACGCATGGAGATGGAAGTTCATAAAAAATGAAGAGGACTTCCCACTTTCGTCAATTCGACATTTCGACTTGGGGTTAAGATCAGGTGACTAAGGGGATTGGCTAAGTCAATCTCAGCCTTCCATGCTCATTAAAATCCTATGGCTACAATTAATTCATTTTAAGGAAGGACAACATAGTAATTATACATTTTAATTTTGTAAATAAAAAAAATTATGTCTGCGCGTCCGTCCGCGGTCCTGCTTCCCTTTCCGACGGGGAAATTATTTCCAGGCAGGCGGCCCTTTCCGGCGGGGATTATCATTCCCAGACCATTATTCCAATTCCATTCCACCACTTCCGAAGAAAGAATGGTTACTCCATTCCCCTGGGCGGCGCCATTATTATTCCCCAGAGAGAGAGAGAGAGAGAGAGAGAGACGGTGGTGGATGATTTTCCGGCAACAATATTTGAGTTCGTGATGTTTGTAATGTTTATATTACTATTTTGTATACATTGTAATGTTTGTAATGTTAGTAATGTTTGTTTGTCTAGTTTGTATACTTTATGTTATGATTTATACACTTTCTATTCATTGATTTGTATTTGTAACTTTTGTTATTCAAGTTTGTATACTTTTATGTTATGATTTGTATACTTTGTATTCATTTGTTTGTATACTTTGTACTGTTTGTAATGTTTGTAATGTTTGTAATGTTTGTTTGCAATGTTTGTAATGTTTGTTTTTTTGTAATGTTTGTAATGTTTGTTGGTTTCTTTTGTATTGTTTGTAATGTTTGTTATTTTTGTCCACATGTTTGTCATTTTTGTCAACCATGTTTGTAATGTTTTTTGCATCACAAATCAATACATATAAAGTATACAAATTATTAGTACTTACAATACAAAGCGAAACATATTAAGAATACAAGCAAAACATACTAAGAATACAAACTGTCAAAGAAAAACATACTAAGAATACAAACTGTCAAAGAAAAACATACTAAGAGTACAAACTGTCAAAGAAAAACATACAAACCATACTGTCAAAGAAAAACATACTAAGAGTACAAACTGTCAAAGAAAAACATACTAAGAGTACAAACTGTCAAAGAAAAACATACAAACCATACTGACATTTTGTACAAAAATACTAACAATACAAACTAATGTTACAAAACATACAAACTATACAAATCATTGTTCTTCCTTCAGACGACTCTCTCTCCACCGCTACCGCCGACGGAGACGGACTGACTTTGCCGCCGACGGAGACGGCCAATGACACAGCGCAAACTCGAAAAAAACACGATCGAGATTACATTACACGAGAGGGACAAAGCGTGAGAGGGGAAATCGAACAGCGAAGCGAGGCGGAGGCTAGGAGGAGCTGTTGCTGTTCTTGCTGTTGAAGTCGGAGGCGAGGCGGGAGGCGATGGCGGAGTGGTACATCGCGTCGTGGTGCGCCGACGTCCCCGAGGTCAGCATCCGGAGCTGCTTGGCCTTCTCGGCGGTGAAGCAGCCCGGGGAGAATCGAGATCTGGCCTGCTTCGCATCCAGATCCGGCCGATTCTCGTCCTGATCGGCCGCCGGCTGGCTCGCTGGCGTCGTCCCGACGTAGTCCGGCTCGGAGGACCAGCCGAAGAGCGGGGACCACCATTTCGGCGAGGCGGAGGAGGATGGGGGGAGCTGCCTCCGGCGGTTGTTGAGGTCCGGGCTTCGTCGGGAAGAAATCGGCTCGCCGTTGCTGGAGAATCGCCTTGCCGTTCGCCGGAGAAGCCTCGCCGTTCGCCGTTGCTGGAGAAGCCTCGTCTCTCTCTCTGGACAATACAACGGGAAAGGAAGAGAGAATTGGAGAGGGGAAAAAGGAAAAAATAAATAAAATGGAAAACAGGATTTAATTATTTTTTTTAAATGCCAAAACTACCCCTCTGATTAATTATTAACCCTTCCTTCATCTGGACCATTAGATCTACCTAAACTTTCGATTTGAGCGAATTCACACTCCTAGCTTTATCAGTTAAGAATAATAAAATAGGGTTAATACCTTAGTTTGGCCTGAACTATACACATACTTTCTACTTTGGGCCGTGGTATTGGAAATTGCTATTCTGGCCTGAACTATATAACAAACTTCCTCATTTGGCCTGGAGGCGGGTTTGATCGTCAAATTAGACGGTCAAACCTGTTGACCGTTAGTCAATGTCCACCTCACCTGCCACGTCAGCTTTGAGGACATAAAAAATTATTTTTTTTACTTAATTTTTTTTTCTTTCGATTAATAAAAAAAATAATTAAAAGAACAAAAAAAGGGCCCATTTTTAGCAAATGACAAGAAAACAAAATTCTGAAATAAAAAAAAATATTTTTTATGTCCTCAAAACTGGCGTGGCAGGTGCCAGGTGAGGTGGACATTGACTAACGGTCAACAATTTGACCGTCTAATTTAACGGTCAAACCCGCCTCCAGGCCAAATGAGGAAGTTTGCTACATAGTTCAGGCCCGAATAGCAATTTCCAACACCACGGGCCAAAGTAGAAAGTATGTGTATAGTTCGGGCCAAACTAAGGTATTATGGGGTAAATTGCAAGGATGGTCACTGAAAGTACTAAGAAATTCATGTTTGGTCACTAAAAGTATTTTATTCCGTTAATGGTCACTGAAAGTGGTTAAATGTTTCATGTTTAGTCATTCTCTGTTAGTTTACGTCAACCTCCGTTAACACCGTCTGTTTTTTGCTGACGTGGCTAACAGAAGTGCCTAATCAGCCTAATTTAACCTGCCACATCATAATATCCGACCCGCCACATCAGAAATCCTAACCCAAGCCCTACCCATAACCTAACCTTTCTCTTTTGACCAATCAAACCCATGAACCCCTTTTCCCATCCAAAAGTCATCCTTGTCACTGCTTCAAGATAGAACTCGTGACACCCTTTTCCCCATCTCCCCGCCAGTGTTCCCAGATTCTTCGACTAGGTAGAGACACAAGATAGAACCCACCAACATTTTCATACAACGCCAACCAATGCTTAGTTGTTCCTCTCACATTGGGCATTAGGGATTGGTATCGGCGCTTGGGTACGAATTGGGGGCCGCCGCAAGAACCCACCTAGCGAGATGATGAAGAAGCCGTCTGTGGGTTTTAAATCCCTAAGGGTGCTGTATTTCGACGTGGTTCGTTGGTTCGGTGGCTGGGCTTTGTGATTTAGGGTTTTGTTTTCTAGGTTTTCATAAGGGGCGGGTGTTTTTAGGATTCAATTTGACTAGGAGGGGATTTCTGTTGAAAGTGAAAGTTTGGATCAGACAGTGGGGGTTTTTTGTTGCAATCTTAGTCACTAGTTAACTTGCTTCTCACTTTGGAGGGTATCAAATGGTGTATAAGAACGGGCAGTGCAGGGTTTTTGCTTTCAGCGATGGAAAGGGAAATTGAGGAGACTAGAAGAGCGGCGGTGGCGGTACGGATGGCGGCGTCAACAGGACGGTAGAGATTCCTCCTCTGCATCCTCTCGTCTTGACCTGCAAACCTTCGACGCCATTGACTTGGCTGAGAATGGTGATGCAAGTGGCGTCGGAGTGTGGGGTGAATCCAAGCACCAACTCCGGTTGCAAGCAAGGAGAGTATTATCTGATCTCCACCAACACAGCCCATCCTTCATCTTCATCGCAATCTCGTTTCCTTCATCTCATGTGCCTCTTCTTTCGCCCCGAGGAAGAAAACAGAGCTGTTGATTGACTTAATTTTTAGGTCACTTGAGTCAAAAAAGAAGGTTAGGTTATGGTTTGGGCTTCGGTTAGGATTTTTGAACGGGCGGGTAGGGGGTTTTTATTTTATGATGATGTGGCAGGTTAAATTCGGCTGATTAGGCACTTCTGTTAGCCACGTCTGCAAAATATTGACGGTGTTAATGGAGGCTGACGGAGACTAACGGAGAGTGACGAAACGTGAAATGTTTAACCACTTGAGTGACCACGAATGGAATAAAATACTTTTAGTGACCAAATGTGAAGTTTTAACACTTTTAATGACCAACCTTGCAATTTACCCATAAAATATGTTATTGACAAGCTATAGCTTTACATGAAATATTGTGGATATTAGGAGTGTTCGTATGGGGTGGTAATCGTTTTAATCGATAGTATTTGAATAATTTTAGTTTGGTTAAATTTTAATAATTGGTTTGGTTTGGTTAATGCTTTTAGCTCGTTTTATTTAGGTGGTTTTATTCATATGTTTTTTTTCTAACCAATCAAACTAAATTAACCAATTAAAATACATACTTAATACTTTGTATAACTAGTCAAAAGTGAACCGCTCCTCCCTTTTAGACTCATAAAAAATAAAGCCCATTATTATTCATATACTATATATTTGTATTTGTATAGTGTAGACAATAATATATGAACGTCTAATTTAGATAAAACTCACATATTATGTTGGATGAAAACTTGAAACAAAATACTTTTAAAGCCTATGACAATGGCTAAGAGAATAAGTTAATTCACACAAACACACCAATTCATTAACCTAATACAATTGGCATATTTTCTTTTGGTGAATACTTCTATTAACCATAAAATAATTGTATTAGTTGCATGTATTTGTCTTAAGAGTTAGCTACAACTATGTGTTAATTGTTATGTTTTATCATTATATAAATTATTAATTGTTGCGAAGATCAAAGGTTGGTTCTTCATCTCGTCTTTCTTCCAAATCAGCCATTGCATCGACAAAAAGAAAAGAAACATAGATGCATATGTAGCATATTAACAATTTAACATATTTGTTGGTCTTTAAAGTCACAATTATCTAGAACGTTTGGTACTACTCACCAGATCATACATGGTGAGCAATACGACAATGAAGGTGGAGATGTTGATTAACAACTCGATAAGCTCAGTTGAGATTTTTCGAGGGAAAAAAGCTAAATGAAGTAAATTTAACTTGAAATAAAATGAAAAATGAACGTACAATAGGAGGTTGTTGAAATGTGTGACCATATATGGTAAGAAAGTCGTATTGTAGTTCACAACGAAACTGTTATAGGATTTTCTACTGTTTAGGATCCTTCTTGTAGATTTTCCTCCAGCATTAGATAAAAGATGCAAGTGACATAGTGAATATAAAGTAAAAGAGACGTAAAACAAAAAAGTTATATAATTTAGTTAAACGATGATTCGGTATATGAGTAAATGTTAGTTAATTTTGCATTTAGTTATATAATTTAGCTAAATGATGTTTGTTTATGCACTAGTGTTAAATCTGCACATACTGAGTTAGTTTCATATTCTCAATTCATTATCATTAACCTCTTAAGTCTGGCCCTTAACACTATACACTAAATTCTAGACCATACTAAACTTGATGTGTAACCACATCATACCCCCTAGCACTTAATTCCAAACTCAATTTCCCCATAAACATAAACAAATTCCTTGAGGTGTAGCAACCCAATATAACCAAAGGCTATAGCTCCTGCCAAAGCCCTAAAAATGATAGGATACATATGTAAAGAGTAAAGTGAAATAAATAGCAAATCACTCAACATGGAGGAGACAAACATGAGCTAATAACACTACTTATCCAAATGAACTTGTGGTGTGTAAGAACGTCGTACGCACACGCATGCACGTTGCCCGATCCAAGGAGATTGCAAACTATACAGGGGCGGAGCTAGGATTTAGCTTTCGGGGGGGCCGGAGTTCTCTTGATACTTTACCGTAAATAACTAAAATTCTATTAAACAAAAACTCATTTTATTTTATTAAAAGCGCACAAAAAATTTATATTAAATTTGGAATAAATCAGAAAACTATATACAAGTTACTAACTCATTTCAATATTTTGTGGCGTAAACGATTTTAATAACTAAAGGCGAATGTCTACCAATATTAATATTCTACCAAATTTATTCATTATATATTCAAAAATAACCTTAAAATTGAAGAATTTAATCAATCTAATTTAAAGTTAAATAATTAACAAACGAAATATGAAAGTTCAAGCATTGATCAATTTTATAGTTAAATAAAAACTTAAATATAGTTTAAAATTAAATAATTAACAAACCAACTATGAAACTTTAAGCATTTTATAAAAAAATTTAGTTAAATAAAAACTTAAAGGCCATATAACTAAAAATATTCATCATAATTCAAACTATCCTTGAAATTTTGAAAATAGTTTGAATGACAAATAAACTATTATGAAAATCATAGACTAAATTGACTATGTAGGAATCAAAACATAAACTATTACAAAAAAAAGCTATCCTTGAAATTTTGAAAATAGTTTGAATGACAAATAAACTATTATGAAAATCATAGACTAATTTGACTATGTAGGAATCAAAACATAAACTATTACCAAAAAAGCTAGTGATAAAAACATAACATGCTTCCCACAAGGATCGAAACCTTGACCACTAGATGAGAGGGCAAGGGGCGATTCCACTAGACTACAAAGACTTTTATTGTTTTGTTTCACGTTGGTTAGTTTTATACATAACATTTAGTTTATACGTCTAATACCGAACTTTTACACGTGACTTTCAAAATTCTCGGGGGGGCCCACGTCTAATACCGAACTTTTACACGTGACTTTCAAAATTCTCGGGGGGGCCGGGACCCCCCCGAAGGCTGCTGTAGCTCCGCCCCTGAAACTATACACTCCTAACATATGCCAAGTAAACCACAGATATTCTCGCAGTAAAGAGAAAGTTATAATTGTTTCAATTATCTAGTTACTTTAATTTTTTTGAAAACTTAATTAGTACAGAATATAATATGTAATCTCTAAGTTCCCATCATGTATTATTGTACATATATAGTTTTATCTTCTTGTAAAACGTTTCTTTAATACTATGAACTGTTGCTTTGCTGGCCTGCCATGGCTTCTCTCTAAGCAGCAGCAATATCCCCTGCAGGCCCTGTCACTCTTCTCGTCATATAGCTTCTTCCATGTTACGTTGATAGATTACTACTCGACAAACGAGCAAAACATAAGACAGACAAAGACCATTTAGCGTTAATTTAGTCACCAAAATGTCATCACTGACGTCACGTACATTTTCCCACATTCCAATCACCAGCAACCTTATCTCTATATATCGCGAGCACACCAACACACAGCTCATTAAATTAACGCGCGCCCAAATCTTTCTCCACCGTCCAAAACCATGACGGCCACCGCCGATCAGCAACACCGCCGCCCTCCTCACGTTCTGGTGGTGACGCACCCGGCACAAGGCCACCTCAACCCAGCCCTCCAATTCTCCACGCGCCTGGCGGCTCTCGGATGCCGCGTCACCCTCGCCACCACCGTCTCCGGCCACCGCCGCATCGCCAGCTATTCCCTCCCGGAGGGGCTCGCCGTCTCAACATTCTCCGACGGATACGACGACGGAGTGGGATCGTCGTCCCAGGCCGACGACCAGACGCAGCAGTGGGCGAATTTCGTGAGCCGCGGGTCCCAGTTCGTGAGAGAGCTCATCGCTTCCAACGCCGAGGGAGGAGCACCTTTCGCTCGCTTGGTGTACACGCCGCTGCTGACGTGGGCGATGGAGGCGGCGCGTGAGGAGAGTCTCCCCGCGACGCTCCTCTGGATCCAGCCGGCCACGGTGCTCGACATCTACTACTACTACTTCGTGGCCGGGTACGAGGAGAAGATTTTGGACGGATGCAAGGATCCGTCTTTTGTCGTGGAGCTGCCTGGACTCCACGTCAGCTTCGCTTCCAAGGACCTCCCTTCTTTCCTCGTCCCTTCAAATCCGTATCCTGCGGTTCTCAAAGTAATGAAAGATCAGATCGAAGTTTTGTCCTCCTCGGAGGACAGGCCGAAGGTGTTGGTCAACATCTTCGACGCGTTGGAACCTGATGCCCTGAGAGCGTTGGAGGGGAAGCTCGACATGGTAGGGATTGGGCCCTTGGTCGACCTTACCACTTCCAACATTGATGACGTTGGTAGTGTTAAGTATATGACGTGGCTCGACTCGCGAGCCACGTCATCTGTTGTTTACGTGTCGTTTGGAACCATGGCCGCGGTATCGAGGAGGCAGAAGGAGGAGGTGGGGAAGGCGTTGTTGAGCAGCGGGAGATCCTTTCTGTGGACTTTAAGGAAGGAGCCAGAGAAGGAGGAAGAGGAGGAGGCTGAGTCGAGATGGAGGGAGGAGATGGAGAAGGAGGCTGAGGAGTGTGGGGGGATGATAGTCGAGTGGTGCTCGCAAGTGGATGTGTTGGCACACCCCGCGGTGGGGTGCTTTCTGACACACTGTGGGTGGAACTCGACGCTGGAGAGCATGTGTTTGGGTGTGCCGATGGTGGGGTTTCCTCAGTTTTCGGACCAACAGACGAACGCGAAGCTGGTGGAGGATGTTTGGAGGACAGGGGTGAGGGTGGTGGTGTCGGAGAATGGCGGTGGAGATGGCACCGGCGGTGGTACTGCGGTTGGTGCGGTGGTGGAAGGAGAGGAGATAAGGAGGTGTTTGGAGTTGGTGATGGGAGAGGGAGAAGTGGGAGAGGAAGTGAGGAGGAATGCGAAGAAATGGAAGGAGCTTGCGAGGAGTGCTGCGGGGGAAGGAGGGACTTCCCACGTCAACCTCAAGGCTTTCGTGGATGAGATTGCTAGCTATAGCTAGGTGACAAGAGGAGACGATATTTTAATTTGTCGTTACCATGAAACCGTCTTTGTAATCGAGTCGCTAGCTGTTCTGGCAAAACCAAATCAAGATTAGGTCTGTCATTTGGATATACATAATTCTCATTTGGAGTTCTCACTCAGAGACGTCTATGATGTAACTAACTAATCAAGAATAGGTCTGCCATTTAGCTGTTGCATGCTGTACAAATGATTGCTGCATGCCTTCGATGCAAAAGTGATCACTTGCTCGATGGGTTGTTGGGAATTCGGATGGGGAGAAATTGAGGGCAATGTAGTGTTTGTATTCTTCTTTATGAAATACCAGGGTGAATTGCAAGTTTGATCACCCATATTACTCATTTGTAACACTTTAGCCACCCGAATAAAAAACCCTTCAAGTCAGCCACCAATACTACACTTTTATATCATCTTTCGTCACTCGCCGTCTAATTCCGTTAAATCTGTCCTACGTGGCAGTCAACAGTTATGTTTGACTGTTAAAGTGCTGACGTGACAATTAAAAAATATATAATAAAACATGATTATTTAAGAATTCCACCTCACAAAATAGAGAAAGAGACCCAGCGAGAAAGCAATTCGTTCTCACTTTCTTCCTCTTCATTTTCCCCTCTTTTCTTCAACAACGCTGATTCTTCTGACCGGGGAAAAAAACAAGCGCTCCATCTCTCTTCTTCTCCTTCTTCCACAGCAAATCGAGACCACTGTGGTACCAGCATGGATCGACGACGGCGGAGGATGGCAAGGACTAACGATGGCAGAGGATGGTAATGATTGACGACGGCCGATGATCTGGGCGAAGACCGACACTGGACGACGATTTGGGCGAAGATTCGAAGAGATGGCGAAGATCGGTGCTGGGCAACAATCTGGCGAATATCGAAGGATCTGGGTGCGAATCAATTGGAATTTTTGTTTGGGATTTTGGAAATGGTGATAGGCATGGATTGACGACGGCGGAGGATGGCAAGGACTAACGATGGCGGAGGATGGTAATGATTGACGACGGCCGACGATCTGGGCGAAGACCGACACTGGACGACGATCTGGGCGAAGATTCGAAGAGATGGGCGAGGATCGGTGCTAGGCAACAATCTCGCGAATATCGGAGGATCTGGGTGAAGGCGAATCAATTGGAATTTTTGTTTGAGATTTTGGGAATGGTGATAAGCGAATCAATTGGAATTTTGTTTATGCTTTTCATCTTGATCTGATGTTTGGGGATGTGGGTTTTGTACACGAAGGTGAGAAGGGAAGGCGTAATAGGGAGACGAGCTGTATGGTGAGGAAGTGAACAGTAGAGGGGCGACAAGGCAGGGGATTCCGACTCTAGCGGCAGCAGATGCGGCGAATGAGGCAGGGGATTCAACCATCGATAACGACTCCTTTGACTTGACTCTAGTGGGAACAAATGCGGCGGCTAAGGCAAGGGATTCAACACGGCGACAACGACGACTTGGGTTAGCTCTCGACAGTCCTCAATCTGCGATCTAATCACCCCGGAGATTTGGTTTACGCGTAGCTGCAACTCCTTCAGGAATTGATCCTTCTAGACTTTGTTAGAGTGGGAACATAGGTGGGGAGATGATGGTGAACAATGGCCATGAAGGTGGTGGCGACTTTTGCTGCTGCTAATGTTAGGGCGGCAAATTGCCTGAGGAAGAGTGTGTCTTGAGGGGAGAAAGAGAAGATAAAGGTTTTTTCATGAAAATATATTTTTTAAATTTTTATGAAAAAATATATTTATTAAATTTTAGTATGACATGAATATAAAAATCAATTATTTTTATTTATTTTTTAGGACACGTCAGCATTTTAACAGTCAAACATAACTGTTGACCGCCACGTAGGACAGATTTAACGGAATTAGACGGCAAGTGACCAAAGATGATATAAAAGTGTAGTATCGGTGGCTGACTTGAAGGGTTTTTGATTCTGATGGCTAAAGTGTTACAAATGAGTAATATGGGTGACCAAACTTGCAATTCACCCTGAAATACCACATGTAATATAATCCTTTCATCCAAATAAGATATTTGAGACCAATTCCCAGTTGCCCACTTTTTAAATGTAAAATAAATCATAAATGTATTTGGATTGGGTCAGACCGGCACAAACACGAATAAATTATGGGTCTTGTCGCGTCTAAACTTCATGGACACATACACAGAGTACGAGCACGACAAGGTCTATAAGACTAACTTCAACCCAAAAGCTAAATTTAGCTTCCCAAATTCTCAAATATCCATCTTTGCCTCTCAAAATACAATATTTGCTCCAACCTTATACCTTCTAAATTTACCTTCCCAAGTCAAAACCAACCAATCAAAAATTAAGAAAGGAAATGGAAAAAAAAGAGAATAAAGCAGCTGGAAAGTGGAGGGTCCCGCAATAGACCTTTTTGCATTTCCAAGTCCAAACCAGCCAATCAAAACCACCACTTGCAGGATGCATTTTTGTCTTCCCTTCTATTTCTCCGACTATCTACCCACCCCAACTCTCATTCTCCAAATTTGCATCCCCACGTTTTGTTGGGTTGGAGATCAAAAAAGGGAAAACCCCCACTTCTCCAAATTTGACATCCAGGGTTGGAGACAGTCTAAGTGAGTAGTATCAGGTCAAATATTTTTGAGACAATATTGAGTATAAGCACGACATGAAATAAATAAATAAGTAGTTTATAGAAATTAAATATAATGAAAATTATAAGTTTATATATTATAAAATACAACTACAAGAATAATTATTCATTGTTGTTAAAAGTGATCGTAAAGATAATATATGTAATTACTACCATAAATAAAAATGGTTGTTTAAAAAAACACGTGGAGGCCAAATCACACACTATACTTCCAATTTTCTTCTTCCCCTTATTTGTTACTTTTCTCATACATTCTCAACTAATACTTCCCATTTTCTCCTTCTTTTCCATCACTCTTTTATTTTTTTCCTTTTACATTAAACACTAATATGAGCACGAGTAGTCACAACACCATTCAAACCATGTGTGAGTTGGTCCTAACAAATTTGAAAAATGAACTGGCACAACACATCACGAAAAATGACGATGATCGTGCCAAGCACAATACGAAATGCAAGGGCCCAAAACGTCCTCGTATAATGCCGACCCAAACACGACCGAGCGTCCAGATACACATAATAAATACTACTTTTAGAAATAATGAGTTAATTAGCCTCAAATATATATCACATTTAAGTAGTAATGTATCAAAACTACGCATAAGTGATCTTTTGAGCAATTTTGTATGTGATTCACATAATCACATGTATACTCTCCACTACTACAATAAGACATAAATCGGTTGTCACTCAATAGCTCAACACACAAATAAAGGCTATCGTACACGTAGCACATAATATATACATGTGTTTACACTTATAAGATGCACTTCAATATATTTTGACGAATCAAAATCGTAGGTTATTATTTTTAAATTAAATGAAACTTATTGTATGTGTTTTAGAACTAAGAATCGAGGTTCACTCATTAGAGGTTACGGTATATAGTATCATACACTAAATTCATATGAATTCATGGTCCAAATAGCAAAACACGGTGTGCCTACATTAAGGTTAGAGTACTGCACGCGTACACTAGCTTGAACAATATATTCGCAGAGGATACAATACTCCTAGTTGTCATAGTGAAATGATGCTATTTAGACCATGAATTAATAAGACTATAAGAGTTTGAGGTATAAAACTATATCCTAACGTTTAAGAGTAGTGGATTGGCCAGATTTAGGAATGCTCGGCTTCCGGTTCGATCTGGACGGCTTTTGAATTTCCTCTTTTCATGGCATGTCTCCAATTCACTAGGAAAATTCAACCCTTCTAGGGCCATCGATGGAGGAGCGGTGATGCCAACGTCCTTCTCCCCCGTGACTGTCAGCGAAGGTGGAGAGTTACCCGCCTTCCTCTAGCCTAGTTATTCACTTATTCTGCTAACTACATAAGTTGTTAGTATATACTAACTAATATCCAAAATGTATGAACTGGTATCCAAGTCTGCTGATTTTACTAAACTATCTAGCTAGATAGCATAGACTAGTATTCAAAACAGCATAAACTAGTATCCAGATAGCATATACCAACTAATATCCACAATCAACCAACTAGTATTCAATATGGATACTCTTATGTGTTATCTGGATACTAATTATGTGCTGTATGGAAACTATTCTGTGTTGTCTAGATATTAGTGTGTGAATTTGGGATAATAGTTGATTCATGGTGGATAACATTTAGCAAACCTTGAATACTAGTCTGTGCTCTCTAGATACTTTAGTATTTCAATACTAGTTCATGTATTTTAGATATCAGTTAGTATCTGCTAACGAATCTTCAAGTTAGCAGATTAACTTTTTCGGCCTTCGTCGTGGTGGGGCGGACGCCTTGGATGGTCTAACTAATAAATGATAAAGTCCAAGTATTAAATATAACAAGGAGAAAGGAAATTTTATTTTATTAGAGAACATATCATATAGATATACATTGTATAGATGATTTAATATAAATGAACTGCGCAAGTTATATTCATTTTGGAATGAAATATTTTTTTGTTTAAAATACAAATGAATTTATTTTCAACGGTAAACTTTGAATAAGCTAAGTAATGGTAATATTATTACTTTTTGAACACCATGTCATATAGTTGGTGCATGCTATCAATGATTGATTTTGAATACACATAATTTTCTAAGTAATTCATTTTGAATTGAATTATTATTATTCAAAAATAATAATTATTGATTCATTTGGTTTCAAATAGTTTACAAGGTGATAATTATCTAATGAAAAGAGAAAAGTTAGGTAAAAGAGAACATTTAAAGTGTTAAAAAAATAATTGTGAGGAATGTCATTCAAATATTTCACCTCGTCAATAAGTAGGGAAATTTCGTTAAAAATACGAGAAAATAGATATTGAGAACTTGTGAAAGCCACATTTTATCGTTTTCGAAAACAGTAGAGAGGTACAACTTTCTGTTTGCAGAGTTGGAAACGAACACAAAACAAAATAAAAAGTAAACAGGTTTTCTCGTTACCGTCGCCAGAATGAAAATAGGAAACATAAAACGAAAATGAAAGTGAACATGTAAGGTACTACCCCGAGCGACATAGTTGATAGGAGACAAAACCCTTGAAGGAGACACCAAATTTCTCATTCGAGGTAGGGTGAGCTCCTTGTTATCAAAGTAAACCCTTTGGAGAGGTAGGATGAATTCCTTTATTCATGAACTAGCGTGGGCCCCGGTCAATTGGCCGGAGGAAGGTGAGGTATGAAATTTAATAATGTAATGAGGTGTATAGCTTATTGTTGTATAGTTTTTTTTTTTTGGAAACTCGTGACAAAAATAGTGAATTTTAGTAGGAAAGAGACATGAATGATGCAATGAATCAAATATTCGGCCTTATGAACCAAAATCAAGTACATGTTACCTTGTGAAACACTATTGTTTCTGGTAATATGATGAGGTGGAGTAAGTTTTATAGAAACCGAATTCCAGAAAATCGAATAAAAAATCGCCTATCCCGTCGATTTTCGGGAAATGGGCATCTCACAATCGTTGCTAGCTTTTACTCGGCCCGTTGGTTGATTAATTTGCTTTATAAAACTTTCATCTTGTCGTCATTGTGTTTTCTGGTTTTTGTTAGGCCATGATAAAATCTAAGGAAATCAAGAACGAAAAACACGATTTGGGATAGGAACCGCCGTTGTCGTATCCCTAGAAAATGATCGTAAACACAGACTCACCTGCCAACTGGTTTGGATTGAGATTTTTATCGGGTATCAGGGAACCATGTGATTATAAATTAGACTTGATCAAAATGGGTCAAAACTTGAAATTCAGCATGTTTGACCGACCCATGCCAAATTCTAATTATTCTTTACTTTTAAACTTTCTATTTGAAAATAAAAAATAGTGAAAGAAAAGAGATGACTGCAATTCGCCATTTGCACATCACTTATTCGGGAATAAAACCATAAAAATTCAAAAGGAACTAGAAATGTTTAGGATCGTTTTAATGTTTAAAATAACCAAATAGATCGTTCTGTTTAGTTTTTTTACTAACAAATACCAAACGATTCCCTATAAAATACACTCTAATTTGATCATTATGATATCAAATAATTATATAATATATATTTGAAATGATAAAAATTGGACTAATTTGGTTAGTCGAGGTTGAACCATTGAATAACTTTAAAATACATTATATTTTAGCCACTAAGATATAAAATAATAGTATAATATATATTATGTCAGAAAAAATAGCTTATTTTAGAATGGCAAACCAATGATGTTCATTTGTTTTACTTAATGGCCAAATCTCGTGTAGGTCAGGCCCATTCAACTCTTTTATTTTATGGTTAGCGGTTAGCCCATTAGATACCATGCATTAGTTTATTGTTAAATTTTTATTTTTAGGAATAAAAAGGAGTATTGTTTTTGCCTTTTCATATATATTTTATCACCACGGAGAAATAAAAGGGCTTAAAGAAAAAAATTGACACTCCTGGACCCGTTTAAATCCGCATGTGTAAGATAAGTTGGCCCGTTCCACAGAGGAAAGAGAAAAAAATTGATACTCCCTATTCTACCCTTCCTACAAACGCTCCTGGAGCAGAGAATTTGAGATGGGAGAAGGGTTTTCTCCTCCCTGCTATTATATATTTTTTATTTAAAAAGATACAACAAATGTACTTAGTGTGATTGGTTATGATCCTTGTTTTTGTTTAAAATGGACATGGTTCGAATCCCAGTACTTTTTTTTAATGAATAAAAAAAGTAATTGTGAAGACTAAAATGTCCTTCCTTCCAACATTCACTCTCATTGCAGGAAATTTGAAATGTCTCGTTTTTTCCTTCGGTGTATTATATTATGTGTAGATTGCTCGGTCTTAAGGTGGAGTAGATCTCCTCAGTCCTATTTGGCAATTGCCATCATTGACGACAGAAAATGCAAAAAAAACCTTCCGATGAGGCAAGGAGTCCCTCCATAACTTCATAAAACCCTTGGCCACTAGAGTGTATGTGTATAAAACGCTAGTCTCAAGGGACAAGGCCAAATAAGAGAAGCCCTTAGAAGACGTGTGGGGAAACTCCAAACATTCATAGCACGTCCTCGACCTCGAATGAGGCATATATACGAAACCCACCTTAGGGAGGTAGGGTGAAGTGCTATACACAAAAAGTCACACTTAACCTTACATTTTGGCACGCTTAGGCGCAAGGCAATAGCAAAACGTCTCGTCTAGGGATTTCGCGCCTAATTAGATACTAAAACACGTTAATGGAATAAGGCGACATATAAGTCTCTCATAAACATTACTAGATGGAAGTAGGAAATCAATATTAAAGAAAAAAATTAACGTCAACTACGAAATTAATTTTCTACATCAATATTTTCAATAGCTCAAGAACTTTTGTAATCTATTGGGCTATGCCTATGATTCTATGAATTCGTGAGCTATATCTTGTCATTAAGTGTTTAGTAAGTTATTAATCATTTTAACTGAAGTGAGAAAGTGTTAAAGATTATTATTTCATTAATCATGTAGTGCGAATAACTATTTTTCTTCCAACGTCTAAGCACGTTTGGTTAACACCTAGGCGAGCTAAGCGCTAGGTAAAGCGTCAACACCCTCCTTACGCCTGTCGCCTTATTGAACCTTGGCTAAACAAACAACTTTGGCAATTCTGCAACTTAGGTAGAGGTCCTCACCCTTCCACCATCACAAAGGGCGCCATGTAAAGTCTCTCCCTAGTTCTTTGTACTAGTATCTGACTTGACGTTGGAGGGTCTCCTGGTCGTTCGTGGTTGGGGGCTTTTCGCTGGTTCTTGGAGGAGGACTGAGCTTCCATGACTCATGATCTGAAGAATTCGGGGCAGACGTCAAAACTCATTTTTAAAGACCTCAAACAAAGGTCCCAAGAGCAAAATAAGATCATTGTTGCCAACAAGTAATTGAAATTTAGCTTGACAGCAACATTACACGACTAGAATTTATAGCCATGACTGTGATCTAGAACATTTTTCGTTCTTAGTACATGCCAAATCCATGACCAAGCCTTCTAGAGCAACACTAGAAGAGTGGAAAAATAACTTAAGTCGACAACGCTCCAATAGTGGCATGAACTAGGCTGTCCAAGGGGTGAGCTCAAGTGACACTGAGCAGCCTGATTGATGGTGAAGACGGCGTTCTCTCGAACACCAATCGAGTTCAAGGAGTCTGGAAATTTACTCATGGTGGCATACCACAGTTTGCACATTTTGATAACTACAAAAGTTGCAACAAAAACCAAAACAAGGAAAGCAAAGCAAAGGAGGGAGACTTTGGAGAGCGCCAAACAGATAAAGAGAATGAGAATAGGTTTTGATTCAAAGTGCCTAAGATTCTAAGTTCTCATAACATATAGGAGCTGTACCTAATTGTTATTCCTAAAGTGAGACACAACTCTAACCAAGGAAGCACAACAAACAAAACAGATACTCACATGTGTGATCAATACACTAACCCTTAATAAATTAACCTGGGAATATATGGTGACAACTTACAGTGGACCTTACAAACTAGCCACAGTTCAAATTGGCACAGAAACTCAAAAAAGGCAAAAGAGAATACGAGCAAAAGAAAATATGAGCAGAGCCCATGTAATCTTTTATTGTTTTATTCCCATATCATCACCCTCCTTTCTTTACCTTTGCTTTTCAAAGGGTCAATGGCGTCTCCAGCATCTTCTGATGTCGTTATTGGATTGAAGATTGAGCACTGCCGTCTCCCTGCCCCCTTTTGATCAACTGCCTCTAAAGTTTAATCCTTTATCAAAGTGATAAAGGAAGAAACCAAGAACAAAAGGTTAAAGCTAAATACGCCATATACAATAATCAAACTATTATATATGCAATTCTCTCCAGGTCGCTTTCATTTCCCACCCTTCATGACTCCAGCTTTCTCACCACTATCAACAGGAATCCGAACCAGGTTCTTTGATAACAACGACAGCAATTCATGAATATAGAATATGAGTCACCTACTCTCTATCTCTCTATACAGTCTTCAATTTAAGCACCTCGTCATAGCTATAGTTTGTTTCCCCCATGAAAAAATCAGATTAAGCATGAAAGTTGAAAGAGTTTCAGTCATACCAGCAGATATCATCATGTGTTGTAGGCTTCTGCTTCTCCTCCTCCTGCTGTCGGGTATTACTTCCTGCTCCGGAGATAGCGAACTCACCGTGCTGCTACAGTTGAAATCCTCCATGATTGGGACAGCAGGAGGAGGAAGCAATGGATTAAGTGACTGGAAGGATTCTTCTTCATCTCACTGCTCCTTATCTGGTGTCACCTGCGACGAAGATGGCGAAGTGGTATCTCTCGACGTTTCGTATCAAAATCTGACTGGGTCACTACCTCCTGAGATAGGCATCCTCAGTAGTCTCGTCAACCTGGCAGTTGCTGGCAATGGTCTAACGGGAACGGTCCCTCTGGACATGGCCAACCTCACATCTCTCAAGCTTCTCAACCTCTCTAACAACGGCTTCTCTGGCGAATTCCCTGGAGAGATCGTTAGAAGTATGACCCAGCTGGAAGTTCTGGACGTATACAACAATAACTTAACAGGTCAACTCCCAGATGGGATAGCTATAAACTTGGTCAATCTCAAGCATCTTCATCTTGGAGGTAACTACTTCTCAGGGGAGATACCGGAATCCTACTCTGAGTTCCCAAAGTTGGAGTACTTGGCCTTAAGTGGTAACAGTCTCTCTGGCCAAGTTCCAGCAAGTTTGGCCCGTTTGGAGAAGCTTAGGGAGCTGTATCTGGGTTACTTCAACACTTTCTCAGGAGGAATTCCGCCGGAGTTTGGGCTTTTGACTGAGCTTCAGGTTCTTGACATGGCCTCCTGTAACCTCACCGGCGAGCTTCCGGCGAGTTTAGGGCGATTGAGTAACCTGTGTGGTTGCTTTCTCCAGATGAACCATCTCACTGGTAATATTCCCACCGAGTTCTCCATGCTGAGTGACTTGAGCATGCTTGATCTGAGTCTAAACAATCTCACCGGCGGCATACCTGAGAGCTTTTCCCAGCTGAAGAATATGACACTACTGAATCTATTTGTCAACAGCTTGGGTGGTCGGATACCGAAATCCATGGGCGACATGCCGAATCTCCGGCTTTTTCAGATATGGCAGAACAACTTCACCTCTGAGCTTCCTGAAAATCTTGGCCGGAATGGGAAGCTGGAAGTGGTGGATGTCTCTTTCAATCGGCTCACTGGAACTGTGCCTGAGAATTTGTGCCAAGGGATGAAGTTGAAGAGCTTGGTTCTGATGAACAATCTATTTTCCGGACCGATTCCTGAGCAACTCGGTGGATGTGAGTCTTTGAGGAGAATCAGAATCCAGAGCAATTTCCTGAACGGGACAATTCCTGCCGGCATTTTCAACCTGCCGGAACTAACGCTTGTGGATATGACCCAAAATGAATTCTCCGGCGAGCTTCCCAAGGAGATGTCCGGGAAGAAACTCGGGATGTTAGCACTTTCCGGCAACAGTATTACTGGAAGAATCCCTGCTGCCACCGGAAACCTGCAAAATTTACAAATTTTGTCACTCGACAGGAACAGATTCAACAATCAGCTCCCTGAGGAGATTTTCAACCTCAGGTCTCTGTCCAAAATCAACATCAGTGGCAACAACATCGACGGCGGAATTCCACCGGAGATATCGAACTGTACCTCTCTGATATCACTCGATTTCAGCCGGAACAATCTTAGTGGAGAGATTCCAAGAGGGATGGATCAACTAAAGGATTTGAACCATCTTGATCTCTCAGAAAACCAACTCACTGGTGGAGTGCCCAGTGAGATGCAGTACATGTCAAGCCTGACAAGCCTTAACCTCTCTGGTAATAAGCTTTCAGGGAGAGTGCCAAACTCCGGCCAGTTACTGATGTTCGATGAAAGTTCATATGCTGGAAATCCTGACCTCTGCTTCTCATACAATGGTACTTGCAGTTCCCAGAAGGCAAAGGCGAATGCGATTGAGAATACTGGTCATAAGACCACTACATGTTTCAGTACTCTTAAACTTGTAATAATTGTACTTTCCCTTTGTTACCAGTTGGTGCAATGCTGGTAGTGATCATAGATTATTGTCATTGAACTTTCTGGGAAGCTCATAGATACCCATGGAATTCATGACGACTACATACTCTACGCTCAATGGTTATAGTCGGAAATGAAATGATAACTAGGCTTTATTCTAATGATAGAAATAAAGTTTGTACAGAGAGGAAATTCATATGTAGAGCATGATTTAAAACACACAACAGTACCTTTTTTACTACACTACAATCTACCTCGTTTTGATTTCGGTTTGGAGGTAGGTGTTCTTTGTACACAAGCTGGTGGTTTGTTCACACTGATACAAGTAAAAGAGGACCTGAAAACTGAGATCTTGAGTTGGTATATCGCTGCTGCTCTTTATGTTGTATATTGACTGCACTTCTGCTGCAGAAAGTTCTCCAAAGCTGAATCTTTCTCCTGGCTGTCCTTGTATTCAGCTCTCCTCCCATGACCTGCAATCAATTGGAACAACCCAGCGACTCTTACGAACAAATTACAGCTAGGATTCACAAACACAGGGGGAAAAGCGGAAATAGAAAAGTTAGCACACACCTGGTAATATCCACTGGAAGTTCAATTTCAATAATTTTTTGACACTGTCTAGCTGCATAGGAACTGCCAAAACAAAGACAATTAGCCATTTACTTCTCACTACATGACTATACCATTTTCTTAGGTACAGCAAGTTTTCTTTTTCTAAATTCAATCAAGAGTTGCCAGAACCTGAAATGCGGTTGTATGTCTCAAAAATGCTCAACCCAAATTCGGTCATGCCAAGATGATCCCCAGCAAATAAGATCTTATGCGGCTTGCAGAATAAGCAGACAGATCCCTGTTTGTTATGCACAGGAGTGACGTTCATCAGCTTTAAGGTGAGATAGTAGTAAAGTATTCCTCGCATATCCACGGGATAAGGAGCAGAGATAAGAGGAGGTGAAACTACCAAGTCCTATAGCCACCAAAAATACTGAAAAGAAATAGCAAGAAAAAAAAAACAAGGAACATGATATATCAGATATTCATATGTTAGTGTAGGTGCTACGTGATCTGCAAATTTAGTAACATCCACATATTTGGAGCAAGAGGGTTACTAATACCACAAAAAAGGAAAAGAAATGAAGTTCAGAAAATTGGACATAAAAATAGGAAGGATGGGAATAACTTAGAAAGGAAATTCTTGTTCTGTAAGAATGGAATCTGAAACAGATGAATCCCATGATCACTATATTTTGGCATGTATATCTTTAAAATAGATCCTAGCAGAAAATATTGGTCACTTCCTCCAAATCACAACTGGAAGGAAACAAGGAAGTAGCCGATTTCCTTTCAGTGGACAGAAAACGCAATAAGAAAAGCAAACAATGGATCCAGCAACTCACTTCTGTATGTCCTGGGACATGTATAAGCTCGACATCCTCTCCAAGGCTCCATGGCCCATTTCCCTCCAGCTTGATTTCCACATCAGCAGTATCAACTCTTACCTGCCAAAGACAAAATGGTACAGAATAATTAATTGACTTCACAGTTGCACCAAAGAAGGAATTAATAAATGAATCCCAATTTTCTGCATCTGAATTCATAATACTTGTGTATTCTACTGTTTGCTGATGATGAGCCACAAGAAGATTAAGTATGTTTATTCTTGATCTTCAAATTACTAAACAAGAACTAATAACTCGAGACAGCAACCACAGGTGACGTGCAAAGACATTAACAAAATATGACAACAAACAGAATGAAAATGAACGGGTACATCTCCTGAGTGCAGAATTCTTTGACAGTTTAATCTCTTTGACCACTTCTCATGATCTGCAACATCATCCCTGATGTTGGGATGAAAAGGAGTTAAACATTACACTCCATAGTTCTAAAATACAAATAGCTAAATTAAATAAATAAATGAACTGAAATTCATCATCGTACATATGAGTGAGAAACATGTAATTTGCACCGCCCAGAGCTTCTATGTTACGAGCCAGCTTCTCAGTGAATCTAGGACTGCATACAAATGATTAGAAGGTGAACATGGGACAATAGAAAATGAGAACAATTCTTTAGCTGAAACAACAATTTCACAATAAGAGAAAATCAAAATTCTTAAGATTCAAACATCAAAACTGAAGAAGGATGAGGACCTACAATGGAGTAAATATAAAAACGTTCACCTGTCCACAATTATATTTCCATCAGGGCGAATGATCAGGTAGGAAGCAGCTCCATATGATTTCTCAGAATGATAACCACAGTGATAGATGCCCTGAATAGGTACGTACAACCAGGAAATGATAATATAATAGTATAAGTGTTCTTCACAGGGAATTTCAAATTGGAACCCCCAAACCAAAAAAAAACTATATCTCAACTGCATTTGGCTAAGCGAGTTCTGATAGTTCATAATGGATAAAGACAAGCGTGGTCTGAAGCATTTGCCTAATTTACTACTATAGGGAAATAACGCCAATGCCTGAAATACAAAGTAAGAAATAACTAGGATGCTAGTCTCCAGCTTGATACTAGATAGGTATTATTTGGCATGCTACCGAGCTGCAGAGGTAGTGAATTGCCCAAATTTTGTTGCTAATATTAATTGAATCACTAACCTATCAAGAGAACTAAAATAAGGCTTGATAAACAAAGAAAATTGTCCGAGCTCATAAAAGAAGGCAAAAAAACATACTGGGATTTTCTTGTCATCTATCGGAAGTGGGAATGTTTTCTGAGCTTCCAGAACATCACGAGTGGGTTTCTCTGTGTGGATTGAACTCGTTGGACAAGCGAGTAAGGCCTACATAACCCATTGTGAGTACCAAAAAGACATAAGTAATCTTGAATAAACATCAATCGAGCGGAAGAGGATGAAACACCCAGATACGACTGTTAGGGAGAACTCATCTAAAAAATGGAAAGTATATAAGTCTGCAGATTGTTGAGAAAACTAATTAAATTTCCTTCCATTGACAACAGAATGTTTGGCCCCTTTCCACACACAACATTGCCTATGCTAAATTGCTGATTGAAATGCCTAGCAATTTTAAAAATGCAGCAGGTAAGATTTTCTTCACATTTAGTTACATAATGGGCTATCAGTTTAAATCCCGATTTAACCTAGCATCCAAATCAATGATCTCCCCTTCTTTATCTACCCTCATAGCTACCACAAACCCTCAATCTTTCTCTCGGCCTATCAAGACTTCCTGAGCCAAGACTGTCACCATTAGAGCAATCAAAAGAAACCAAAAGAATAAGATACAAGCACGGAATAGAAATTGGTAAAGCTACCTGAAGAGCATTCAACCTCTCCTCACTAGAAGTCGGTTGTTTAGAAACAGCAGACATCCCTTCAACTCGTGTGAAAATTTGCTGTACAGATCAAGATAAGCTTTGATAAGAAGCTCAGTTCGACAACTCTATAGATGCCAATTGTTGATGCACAATTAGCTCCAGCCATTAAGAACAGGAATGCAAATGCAAATCAGCTCAAATCGCTTGCTTCAAAGTCAAACAGCTATTCCCTTAATCAGCAATCAATGACAAACTGGAGAAAAGTTACTATTACTTACTGGAGCCATCCATCGGCATGTATCGCAGTCTATGCATCTGGTGTCTGCAACGAAGAATTGAAAGCAAGCGGGAGAAAAAAAAGTTACAAGACGAGCTGGGGAAAAAATCAATAGATATCAAGCAGCTTTCGAGACAAACAACAACGAAGAGAAAGTTGAGCAACTGCTTTACCGACGAAGAACTCTCCGTCGACGTTGTGCGGGCGTCTCAGCGAGGGAGCCCTAGTCGGAGTAGCAACAGCGGAAGCTGCTCCGGCCGCTGCTACTTCATCCCCTCCGCTCTGGATTGCTTTGATCGGGCGAGTTAATGGCGGCTTTGAGAAGCGAGACGACGAGGGAGGAAGTAGGTCCGGTTGATAACGGAGACCTGTGAGATTGATTGCTTGTCCCGTAAGTTTGAGCGCCATGGCTGGGTAGATGAACCCTGCTCTGTAGTCTGTAGTTGGGTGAGTTTCACTTCCACTGGTTGGGTTGCATCACTATCTATACGAGAAGCTAGAACCCGTGCGGTGCCTTCTTGCCTCGTCACGGTCAATGCGGTTCTTGATTGGGTTTGAAAATCCAAACTTAATGATGATGTGACGTGGGGGAAGAGGATGCTGTAGAGTAGGGTTGGGAAAATAGACCAGACGGTTTGAAAAATTGTGAACCAAATTGGATTGTAGATCGTGAAGAATGGTTTTGTCTGGTCTGCTTCATGGTCTGTAATATATGAAGTTTTGATTTCTTGGTTTGGTCTGGTTTAGATGGCGGTTTACCGAACCAAATCATGGATCTAGCCGACTTTCTAATCCATGTTAGTAGCCCACTTGACCACTCTCTTAACGATAGCCTCAACCTTAATTTTCAGAATTTCGCCCCTCCTTCATTCACAACCACATTCACTAGAGAGTAGAGACGATCGTGTCTTCATATGGCATTATGTTAATGTTTTTGACGTTATGGTGTGAGTTGGGATTCTTTGACTTTGTATCTTTGTTATTTACTAAGATTTAGAGAGTCAAAATTATTCATGCATGTTGAATAATTTTCAAAAAACGAATTATTTTTGGATATACGGGGTTTTGAGAATAACTTTACCTTCCCTTTTCAGGAATCCAAGTACATTACGAAATTATGTCTATGATAAAAATTGTAGTCCTTAAAAAGTTATGTGAAATAAAAAAAATCACGATTTTCGGATTGTGGAGCACAAAGTTATGGTCGTTCAAAGTTTGACGAAATCGAAAAAAGGCTCGTTTAGGGTAGCAAACGACGTTTTTTGGGACGAAGGCGGGAGGCGGTTTGCGGCTTGCAAGATCTTGAAAATTTATGCGGAATCAAAAAAAATTCGCTACGATCGGATAACCGTGCACAAAGTTACGTTTGTTTAAAGTTTCGACGTAGGTCAGGCCTTCACCGCACCCGTGTAATGCGGTGAAGCATTCACCGCCTTCCTCTACAACGGTGATGCAATCAGTGCCCAATCACTGTCCTCCTTGAATCACCGCTCTCCTCTCATGCGGTGATGCAATCACCGCCTTGCTCTGTTGCGGTGGCCGGTGAATATCCAAATATGCGTAGATTGAAATTTTTTTTGTGTATTTTGAATTTTTTTTTAAAATAAACATGTATAACTTGGGGAATTTTCCGTGGTATGTGGGGGTCAACAGAAGATTTTATTCTCAGAATTCTTGTTTTTTTTTTTTGACAAATTCAGAATTCTTGTTCGTTGGTTTGTTTCCCCGAGAATATGCCACTACTCTCTCACCTAAAGAGTACGGAGTCTCTTTCCTACTTTCTGTTGCTACAGCAGCTGCTACTTCCCCTCTATTTCAGTTTTTTCACCTTGAAGAAGAACAGACTTTCACATTGTTAAGTTTGCGGAGGGCGAAAAATATGGAGACCGCGGTGGTGAGAACTGAGAAGAACCGGAAGCAAGCTGCAATAGCCAGCTCTGCTCGCTGTTAAACTCAGGCCGACGATTCAATAACCCATAGTAGCCGCCACAAGAAGACGAAACAAATATGTCATCTCTTCTGCTCAACGCGAGCCACAATCTCTGCTTCAAGCTCTCTTCTTCTGGATGTCAATGGCAGCCTCTTCCTCCTAATAATACCCATCGTCTCTCCTTCTCACGGGTTGGTACTGTAATTCATTGAAAAATTGATACTTTGCCTGTTCATGATACAGTAGTTGTCATTTCTCATTTGGGTTTGTGCGATTTTGAGCATTTCTGAAAGTATAGTGGCCGACAGAACAAAGTCGCTTTCTTTTTGTTCTAGTCGTCCCCCATATCTGATTATATCATAATTCATTAAGCAATTGGAATGATCAGGAAGCTTCTTGCGTGCAGGTTTGTGCTGAAAAGCAAGGTCCCATTGCTGCTTTAGCTTCTGCTGAACAGCTTGTATGGCCATCTCCGAGTGATGAAACCCCTTTCTGGAAGAGGGATTTCCCTTCTTGGGATGCGGGTTCCGATGTCCCTAGTGACGTCGTCAAGGATTCTGATCCAATGCACATTATCCACGTCACAGCCGAGATGGCTCCCATTGCCAAAGTTGGCGGCCTTGGTGACGTTGTGACCGGACTTGCTCGTGCTTGTCTGTCTCGTGGCCATACAGTGGATGTAATGCTCCCTTTCTATGAGTGCATACAGAGGCAGCAAGTTGTTGACCTGGAATTGGTCTCTACATACAACTCCTATCTGGAGGGGGAATGGATCCCGGTGAATGCATATCGCGGGGTCGTAACTGGCATTCCTGTGATACTAATTGAACCATCAAACCAGTTCTTCAAAGGGAAGCAAGTCTATGGTGGTTGCTACAATGAATTGGAGGCTTACTTGTTCTTTAGCAGGGCTTGCCTTGAGTGGATGCAGGTTGGTTGCATAGTGCTGTTCTATAAACTGTTAAGGGGAACAAGTAGAAACTCTTGTTTGGTTTTGGCATTGTTGTTTATGAGTTTCATAGCATGATGTATGTGATATTGGTGCAATGTATCAGGTAACGGGGATTCAACCTGACATTATCCACGTCCATGAATGGCAGACAGGCGCTTTGCCCTTGCTTTACTGGGATATGTACCACCATCTTTCATTGAAGGTATTCTATCCTTGTCTGCATCCCTACAGTTATCACCTTAACCTAATTACGACAACCTTTCGCATTGCATCTATTTGAATATGATGACTTTTTACTTGCAAGAAACCACGAATAGTGTTGACAATACACAACATGGAACATTATGGAGAATGCCGGTAAGTTCTGTTTCTGTTGTTCATCAAATTGGTTATGAAGAATAAAGTCAGTCATCACATCATGGAGTTTACTCTTTTCGCCTCTGAGGACAAGTAAGTCACTTGAGTTACTATTGCACTGATCTTCAGCCAAGAGCAAATCAGCAAATGCGGTCTTGATGGGTCAGCATATGCAACGGTAGAGAAGGTAATTGACCAACATGATTCTCTCTATTTGGTATCTGTTACATAGTTTCTCGCAAGTTATGGTCGAGGGTGGTTGACAACAATATAGATCTTCATTTTCACCTCCAGTCAAGGATGACTGTGGCCTATTTGAGTGCCTGGATTTGGCTAAGTGGGAAGAAATGGATGTCTCTGCGTTTGCTTGACAGGAGATTGTCAGATTTCATACTGTAGTTGTGTGATTCAGCTTTCAGAAATCGTAGTGTAAGTTTATAATATTCTTTGAATGACAAGTATGTTATTATTTGAAAGGATAACTTACCCTGTCTTTGTAGTAGTTTGTTTTTCATAAACTTGGATATTTGGCTGAGTTTTATTGCTTCTTAGTGAGTGCAAGTCGCTTGTAGTATTTCCTTCTTCCACCAATCCACGTTTCCCTATCTCTGTGTTTCAGGCGGTTGATGATCGGACTATTGGCCATAATCCTGAGAGGTTAAGCTTGCTGAAAGGTGGAATAGTGTACAGCAATGCAGTAGTGTGAGGAGCATAACTCTTACTAACCGTTTGTTGCTACATCAGCTTCTTGAATGAGAATTTGACGAGATAAAATGCATTGGGCAACTGTGGTCACTGAAAGTGGCTGAAGAGAAATGCTTTGAGTTAAAAGATTTTTTTCCGGGACATGACCATAAAGAATAAGACTCGTGCACTCATATCTATTATTTATCTACCATCTCCGCGCAACTTTATGACTATATTGGTCCCAAGTAACTGATTTTCCTTTTGTCTTCCAGTACAGTTTCTCCAACATATTTGAAGGAAACATTATGTTCAGGATGGCTGGCAGGCACTTTGATAAAGTCTCGTGATAAGTAGGTATCTCTAGATTTATACTTAACTTCAATCTGTGTGGTCTTCATTCATTTAGGGTCTGTTTACTTTAAGTGAACAGGGCCTTAGTGGTCGTTTGTAGCTTTCTTTCTGAACCACAATGTTCGCCAGCAACTTAATAGCTATTTCGTGCTATTCAATTGTCATGCTGTAAATAAAATGTATATATGCAGATAGGGTGGACAGATATAGTGTATGCCTATTCATGTATCTGCTCGGATGAAAGTAACTAGCTATTTAGGTACTAGGTACCACTTTTGGTCTATGCATTTCCATTTCATGTGGCTCTGATGCATGAACAGTGGACCACTTTTGCCTGGAATAGAATATTGGTCGTCATCTGGTTCTACTGTTGTCTGCCGTGCAACTGATGCTAGTCATTTCCATATGATTCTTAATGCAGGTACTTTGGTATACTAAATGGTATTGATACTACAATGTGGAATCCTGCTACTGATGTTTTTCTGCCTGCTCAGTTCAATGGTAACCTTCTGCTAGGTTCAGTGTGTTTGTTCCCCTGTTGAGATATCCGAGACTGAGGAAAGCATGTAACCTAATCCACCAGTGTTCACTTGGTGCTTTCTTGCAATTGGTACAGCTCACAACATTGAGGGAAAGAAGTTATGCAAACAGTATGTGCAAAGGGGGCTTGGTTTGATTTCTGAGGCCTCTGGATCCGGTAACCAAATGCCGGATGCAGCACCAGAAGTGCCCTTGGTTATCTGTATTACAAGGCTGGTTCCTCAAAAGGGTCTTCATTTGATTACTCATGCCATCAAGCGTATTGAAGAACTGGTGATGATCTAATGTCTCTTATTTATGTTCGTCGTAATTTGACGTTCCGTTCTAATGCCTCTTGTTTTGTTTGTGTACTGACATGATTTCTTGTCTTGCTGTGACGAGCTTATGCTTTATGTTGATGATTGCAAGAGTGAGCCCAGATTTTCTTGAAGAATGCATGATGAGCTCTTTCTTCTCTGCTATTTATTTTATTAGGGTGGACAAATGATTATCCTTGGAAAAGCTTCAGATGCTCGCGTTGAAAGTGAATTCAAGCATCTTGCAGATTTGGTAAGGTTCCCAAAAATCCGACGTGGTGTTTATTGGTAGCTGTTGCCGTTATTCCCCTTAACAACAGCAACTTCAAGTGAGCATAACAAGGGTGAAAAAGTTGCTCATAGTTATGAAATATGGCGAACTCCTGAGGTTGGAAAATAGTTATCTTTTGTTCCAAGTTTATAGTTGCAAGCTAACCAGAGGTAAATCTATTAATTTTTCTGTGTAGCATAATCAAGGTCCCAGCATTCGCATTCTACTGCTCTACAGGTGATTTATT